AGAGTCGCCACTTGGGAGATTTAGGGTGTCCCAAGTCACCAATTTTAATCCCGAATCGAGGAAAAGAATGACTCCATATTACAGTCCGCGCACCAGAAATCCGGATAAGGAATTCTGTTAACCCGGGAGAAGGTGTTAGGCATTCCCGAGTTCCGTGGTTCTAGCACGGTCGCTCAACTGTTATATTCGGCTTAATTATCTGATTTTTATACAATTATGAACCTATGTGCCAATTTTAGCTTTTTACCACTTTTATTCAAATTATTAAAGAAAATTAAACGTCGTTTAAAACATGTCTTTGGATGACGTCACATGAAATGCACCCGCAATCCGGAACATATTTTATTCAATGTTTTGGGATTTGGATTTGGATCGCATGAAATGCACACCCCAATTTAAGAAAGTAAATTATTAAACACGCGCTTGAAGAGACTATCACGTTATTGGGAAGACCGTGAAATTTGCTAAGCGACCCGTCCCGAAAACTAAGTATTTTAATATATACACTTAACGAGGGCCCCGCAGCTTGTGCCTTTTGTTTGGCGAGGCTCGTCTCATTTTTATTTTAAAAAAGAATATCCTAAAGCGACTACATTCTTCTATTTTTTTTGTCCGTCTCTAAAATGAAAGAGGAAAAGAGATCCTAATCCCATTACATACTTGAAATTGTTATAGTCGATCTCCGAACAAAATTTATAAACTCCGAATGCGAGGACGCGTATGGGTCATCTGTTTGCCAAATCATGGGCCTGGGTCCAATGCATATGGTATTACACTGGACCTGGTCCATCTTCATTCCGATATGGGCCTAATTAATTGTTTCTACACCTATTCGTGAGTTTGCAAAGCTGAAAGATAAACTGATACTATTTCATTTAACAGTTTGTTGTAAGTTTTAAAGTAAGCAATCTGTTGGCATGAAAGAACTTAAAGATCTAGTTTTAATCCTAATTCAAACCATTTGCGTACTGAAATTAGACTGTCATGACAATTAGAAGTCTTTTGGCCTAATTCTAGTTTGACATGCATCTTTACAAACAAACTGAAATAAGCAGGGTGCTTTTTAGCATCATATCCTTCTTTTAACTAAGGGCCTACATA